GATGCACATGGGGAGCAGGAAAGGAGGAAGGGGACACCCGCCTAATCAACCAGATGAGCTGAATCAACCCTGGCCACTGATGGGGTGGGAGATACTCAGCAGATTGCTCTCACATCTGGGGTCCTATTTGCTTTCACCCCCAGGGGAAGACACGCCCAATGTCCCATCCCTGAGCAGTCACTTCTGCGTGGAATGTGGATGGATGACAGCGAAGTTTGGCTCCAATCGGACTTCAGTTGGTGAAAGTCCCTCCCAGCCCCCATTCCAGTTCTTTCTAAGGGCATCCGATTAAGTTTTTGGGTGAGAGCCAGGTCAGATTCCTTTGGCCTGCAAACGTTCTTCTTCTCTTTACACTCAGGTGTTCCTAAGAAATCCTTGATAGGGCCTCGCTGGTGGCACAGGGATTAAATTTCTGGTATGGCCTGAGTTCAGTCTCTAGCCAGGGAGTGACCCACAAGGTGCAGCAGACTTCTCTTGTCTCCCCGCTGCTCCTCTCATCTGTGTGTCTCAGTAAATTTGTCTATTCTGCTCCCCACTCTGTGTCTGGTGAATCCTCTCACCCCTTCACATCTCTGGCCCACACGCCAGTTCTTCTATGCTAAATAGATAAAGTTAAAAAACAGAATCCTTTATATGCTGACTCTGCCTTTTGCTGAAAAGAAGTGAAAGGTTTACATCAGTAGGTAGGAGGAGACACCTAAATGTTAAGCCTGCAAATCAGTCACGTTCTCAGCATCAGAAGGATGTCGCTGTTGGAGCCAGAAACACGTGGGAGATGAAGCAAGGTGTAAAATGGGTCCTTCCTCCACCCCAGGGCCCAGTGGGGCCAGGGTAGGTGCCTCCACCTGGAACGCGCTCCCTCCACATGACTCCTGACTGTCTGGACGAGGATACAAGTGCTTTAACCTTGAAAGATTAAAATATTTTCATGCAATCAGTAAATTCTGTTATTAAATCTTACAGCAGCAAAATTAAATGATAAGAATAACTAGTATTTTGAAATCCTGAACATCTTATAATTAGGACAGTCTTTAAAAAATATTCCAAGTTAAGGCACATTAGAATGTATTCCACAACATGGAGACAGCCTGACAAAGAAACATTATTCTTAGATTTACAATTAATTACCCTTATGTCTATACCTTGCATTCAATTTGCATATCTTAAAAGTGCTGTAAATTTCACAGGACTCCTTGTTATTTAAGATCATACTGCTTCGTAAAAGTTTCTTCAGTGATAACTTTCTCTTGATTGTGTAGTTGTGAGGTCAGTAAATCTGGCTCTACTTTGCTCTCCAATGTTATAATTTTTCTTTTTGTGTGTGTTTTTCATTATTTGCTTCCTTGTTCCTTCTGCCCTCTCATTTATTATTGCCCAAAGAGCCAACAGATAGAGAAGCCGGCTGGAAGAGTAAGTGTCTCCAGACTCTGAGATGCTATCTGGCCCTCACAACGCATTGGTACTGGGTGTCTGACATGTTCTATACATCTTTCTGGTGCCAACCTCATTAAACAAATACAACTTGATGTATAGCTCTCAAGAAATGAAATTTTATGCCACAGATTTGTTCTCTGGCTGGCCGGAGTCCTCTGCCCCCTTCTGCATCTTGCCATCTGTCTCACTACCCTCTCCTTTTTGAGCCTGCCCCCAACGTGAGCTGGCACGTAGTGATTTCTTGGTGTAATTTTAAGTGGGCACTGCTGATCTCCTAACCTTCCAACGGAGGCTTTATTTTCAAAAGAGCACATTGGACCTCCTAAATGATTCATAGGGAGCCATTAGCACTATATAAAAAAATGATATGTTTTGTTTTTCTTGAACTGTCGCACATACTTTAATCCATACCTACCTCCTGTCCTCTTTGGCGTTTTCAGAGGTGACCCCAAATACTCACATTCTGTGCAGGATCCCCTCTATAAAGGACTCCCCACCTCAAGGAGAGGGATGTGCACACATTTGTCAAATTGTAAATATCAGTTAGAAGCTGTGATAAACAACTTAAAGAACTTAAAAAAGAAACAGATATTTCAACAAGCAACCAATAGTTTAATAAAGATCATTTTTTTTTTTTTGGTTTGTATTTTAAAAAGTCACGAATGCAATTACAACTAGTCTCACTACTGGGTGGGATTTCGAGTTACCTTTTTTTATTTTTGCTCAGTTTTGTTTTTCCAGTATACTTTATTGAAATCATTTACAAGACCAAGGATAAGATTCCACTTTGAAGCCAAGTAAATGGTGTCACCGTTGAGTCTGGTCCCAGGCAGTGCAACTCTTACCTGGGGACAGTTGGGTCTAGAAAATGACAGGCTGGCATGTGAGACAACAATCCTTGTGCTTTTGGAGAAATGAAGGGGGGTAAGGCCCCTCCCCTTTAATTTTATGTTGAGCACAATCAGGTAATCTATCCGGCTTCCTCTTCTCTTTTATTAATTGGTGGTTTATTAAAGCAATTTTTAAGAAGCTAATCCCATTGTCATCTCTCCATGATAGCTCCCAGAGAACTGGGCATTGCACCCCTTCCCTGGGGGATCTCAGCAACAGTCACCATCCTTCTCCAAAGTCTTCTTCGGCCTTTGCATCCTCTCTCTCCCGTCCCTCATACCAGGTATTTTTTTTTTTTTTTTTTACTCCTTCAGGGTAGGTGAATAGCAGACTCTTTACAGATGTATTAATTTCTGACAGTGACAATTCCTGACAATTCAATATGTAAGTGGGTCCCTGTGATTTCAGAAAACCCATTTATTCTGGCTTTTGATGGGCTGAACGCAAGTGAATGTAAAAGTAGCTCTCTCCTCGTTGATTATAATATAATATTTCTATTAAAATCATCTTTAAAAGCCTTCTGAAAATTTGAATAATACTTTTGCAAAGAATATAAAGCTCTACCTCAGATTTGCTGTCCTAGAATACCTTGGCAAAAGGACCCAAGTAGCAAGAGTTTTCCTAGTCTTATGTCCCATATACATCTGTTAAATTACTCTGAGATCTCATTAAATAAAGCTAATGTACTTGTAAAACAGTAGGGAGAGACAGTTTATCATTGTAACTGTTAGAGAGAGCCATTCGGGTAGGGAGGGAGCCAAGAAGACTCGGTATATGCTGGTCAGTGTAGATGTTTCTAAGTCATAAATCTTGGCTCTTTCCTGCCTAGTTATTGTGTATTTCTTTAGGTGAGAGATTGATTGTAGCAGCTGAAGATGAATTTGCTCATAGTCCCTTTCTTCTTCTTCTTCTTCTTTCTTTTTTATACTCCTGATGCTTTACCAAGGTGATAATGCTTTTTTCTCTCCCCCCCTGCCCCTCACAATCATTTGTTTCAGATTAAAAGCATGAAATGGCACAGAGAAACAGGGGGAGGTTGGTCTCTGTGGTCAGGCGGGCACCAGGGCATGAAGATGTATAGCGCGCCGGTGGGAGGGAGCCTGCTCCGTGCCCCTCAGGATTTCTCACACGCTCACCTGAAGGAGAAACAGGGGTGCTCCCACCATCAGATACCTGGAAAGGAACTGTCACTTCCTCTCTAGTTGTCAGGCAGATGGTAAAAGGGGTTTAATTTGAAACCACTGAAACATCGTGTACGTTGGAAACCATGACAATTGCAGTTTTATTGTCTCCACTCAGGAAAATGTGTGTCTGGATCATCTTGTGGCCCGAAAAGGGAGAAAAGGTACTTTTCATGAATATATATAGATGCTGAATTTATAAGGATCAATATAGTCGCCAAATGTTGTACAACATGTCAGGATATCATAAAAAGCAGGCAGTTCTACATAAAATACCAGCTTAATCTTGGAGGTTTTAAAGCCTCATTAAAATGTGGATAAAGTCCATATATGGAGAGGCAGCCTTCAAAAGGTTGAAGTTATATATCTGTGGGGCAGAGACGGTAAGCGCCACTCCTGAATGTCAGTGGCCCTTGTGGGCTACGGGAGGTGGCGGTCAGAGTGCACAGCCCTATGCTGACCGGAGGTGGCGCTGGGGGCCCCAGCGGGGACCTGCCCTTGTTTTAGGAGTTCACAGCCTCCCCTTTAGGACAACAGATTTCGTTAGGGGAGGCACAGTAGACTGGTCAAGCGTTACTGTGTCTGGCAAGCTGGGACATTTGTGGATTTGACTGTTTAAAAAAAAAAAATGGAGGTCCTGGGCACTCCCTGGTGGCACATCGGGTTAAAGCACGGCATTGTGAAGCTTTCCGCAGCCACTGCAGCATGAGTTCGAATCCTGACAGGGGTGGGCAGTGTGTGTGTGACCCAAATGGTGCAGCAGACCACTCCTTTCCTACCCGCTGCTCCCCTCAGCAGTGGATTTTAGTCCATCTGCCTGTTCTACTCCCCACTCTGTCTCTGGGGGATCCTCTCACCCACCGCACCTTTGGCCTGTACCCCAGTTTTAAAATAAATAAATCTTTAAAAAAAATAGAGGTCAGCTCCCTTGGAGGCAGAGGGACACCTCGGGGGCTTTAGGGGCTGGGTGATGCATCACTGAGACCTGGAGGCTGATCTTTTAGGGATCCCTGATCTGTCCCCTCTGCCCCAGAGTCCGCTGCATCTCAGGTGACTATCAGCCAAGCAAATGAGGCTCCAGCTCTCATCTCTGGCTCCTGCCCCCCTCCAGCCAACGGCCTCTGAGGGCTGCGGCTCCTTTGTCGGGGACTGAGAACACACCCGCCCTCCTGGAGCAAAGTGGATTTGCACCCTTGTTGGGCATCTGGGTGGTTTGGGCTTGTTTGCTTATTTTTCTGGAGAAACTTTGAAAGTCAAGCCAGTACTTTTGTTCTGACCTTTCTGCAGCACTGGCCCATATTCAGCGCCTGTCAGCAGCGCACGTTGGCCGGGAGTCATCTGTCACTGCCAGCCGTCACTCTGTCCCATTCCCATCAGCCCCATTACCCGGATCAGGAGAGAGCGGAGCCTGGCGTCGGAAGGATCATTAAACTTGAGACTCCCAGGTAGCACAGGTAGTCCAGGTGGCCTGTTGTTATTTATAATAAAGGAAAGCGCAGCAGAAGCACCTGACGGTGGCCCAGGAGGCCGGCAGAGGACGCCTGAGCAGTGTCATCGCTGAAGGACAGTTAAAAGTGGACTCTCCCCCCTCACTGTAAGCAAAGAGGATTTATTGAACATCTGTTCTGTACATGGCTGGGAAGATTGATTAATTTAATTGCTCACACTTTGCTTAAGTAACATTTGAATACTTAATGTCAAGTTTGAAGGATATCCCAACGTTCGCCTGCACACCTTCCCTGTTGGTTGCTGAGGGAGCTCTGGACGGGGGTGGGGGAGCATGGCCTCCTGGACCCTTGGAAATACTTGTTCGGTGAGCGCCTGCCGGAGTTGCCGGTGGGAAAAGCTGCCTCTTTTCATAAAAGCAACTAGTTACTTTTCACATTTTCCCATTGTGATAAATCATTAATGTAATGAGGTTGGATCTTCCTCAGTGAGTGGTGGTAATTTTCCCTCTGGTATCAACTGTGGAGACAGTTGAGCATATTATATATTTCTGTACCCTTTAACATAATACCGTAATCGTATGAAAGTACCAGATGAGTTAAAGCTGTAATAATTTATTGCAGGTTAAAGTCAGGCAGTGTCTTTAGAAGGAACTCCTGAAAGTTCTACAGAAAACCAGCCCTGAGAACAGTCCTTGGCTCATCAACGCTTGTCCTTTCACTACTGGATGGTTTTCCTCATCTCAGCTGTCAATCTGATGCCGTCTGCGGGAAGAGGTGCCTTGGCGGCCCGAGTCTTTCCTTCAAGGAAACTGCTTTGGGAAGGCTAGGAAACCCTGCCTATCTTGCATTGACGATGTCACATCTATACCTCATGTTAAGAAACAATTGCAACCGCTTTTACCCAGATCAAGAGCATGAAGGTTAAGGTTGTGAATACAGTGCCACAGGGGCCTTCTTCCCTCCCCCAAGAGCGCTTAAACATTTCAACGGAGGTTCCACTTACCTAAACAATAAAGAAAAAGAATCACACCTAGGTTTTCATGAACATGTCTCCCTTGGGACAAGGCCAGCTGAGTCTAGCACCAAAGACGCCTTTGAACTTGGCTTGAAAAACTGGACAGCAAGGAGTTCCATATACTTCTAAAACAAAATGTGCCTCTGTATTTCATTCCTCAGAGCCCAACTTGTTCATCTTACCCACCCATTCGTCCTTGCTTGCATGTCTCCATCATTTATTCATTCAACATTTCTTGGACTCTCAACTTCTAAAGCAGTCGACATTGCTATTTTGTTGGAGATTTCCTTTGGGATTGGTTAGGGAAGAGAAGCTTTCTAGTTTAAAACAATTTTAAATAGAGAATGATATTTTTTTGAGATGTGCAAGATGAGGCAAGGGTGAGGAATGAAGAAGGGGAAGAAGCTGAATATGCAACTTCAACATGCGCGCAGGGCCAGCCTGGCCTTTGCTGCTGTCAGAAAGGCTGTATAGGCCACGCTCAGTGGAACCTGCCGTGGCGGATGGCTGGGCCCAGGAGGCCGCACTCCTGCTTGACTGAGCCAGAGGGAGCAAGGAGACCGGAGGGATGGAAGCCGAGAAGGACTCCACCAACCGCCTGAGCTCAGGGTTCAAGGGAAGCCTCCTGGGGGCTCGCTTGGGGCTCGACACACCAAGACGGTTCTCTGCAGAGGACGATCCTCGCTCGCATCTGATGGAAAGCAGATGTGGTGTGGCTGGTTCTTTGCTGCGTGTCCCCCTGCTCTGACCGCACACAATACATCCCACGCCAGGCCTCCGACTGTCAAGGCCAGAGCCAGGTGCCTGGGCTACGCGTATCCTTCTCCATCAGTCATACTGCAGGGAGCAGACAATTAATTCTGGAGCAAAATTGAAAGTCAGAGGCAGAGTCTGAAAGAACAGAATGACAATAATAAAGTGCCCCAGCCTCGCATTAATCTCCCTCACTTCAGGCCTGTCACAGCCGGCCTGGCTGTGACTAATGCCAAGCTTTGCATACAGTGGTCACAGACACGAGCAGCGTGCTCCCTTTACAGCGCCTGGGATGCGCTTTCTTGGGTTTTTGACTGGTGTGCAGTCTCTGCAAAAACATCGCCTCCGGCCATAGGTGAGGGGACCGATCGGCTCCTCCGTGGTGTCCAGGGTGACACTGCGTAGGAGACCCGCTGCAGGAGCAGTGCCAGCTTCTCTCTCTTCCTCCCCCTGCTGTCCAGCCCTCTCCTCTCAGCTTGCCACGCCCACCTCTCCATCCTGCCATCTCGGACTCACTTCTCCCCGCCTTTCCTGAGTCGTTCACCTCTTCCTGTTGGTGTTTGTGGGCTCCCTCTTTGCTTTCCCCACAGGCAGGAGAGAGGGGTTCATTCAAGTGTGCAGGTGATGGGGGGCCCTTGCCACAAAAGCGTGGTCGCGGGGAACTGGAATTGTCCACGCTTGTCTGGAGGCGTGGGAGGAATTCACATGGGAGGTGGCGGCACACTGGTCTAAAGGTGCCAGGTCCCCACATGGCCACGGAGTAGAGGACCCTCAGCCTGCTCTGGCTTCAGTGAGTTCCACGGCCCCAAGGGGGAGCTGGGAGAAGGCGGCAGGCGTGATAAATCAAGTGCAGGATCAGTGAACACCTAAACAAATAAACCCATCGAGGAAAGGAAAAATGATTTCTCTGATGGGGAATGGTGCCTCTCTGAGTCTATTGAGTTTTTTGAGGGAAAGAAAATGAGTCTAGGGAGTGGACATCATGGCCGATTTCAGCCGGGCTGTGGAGTTGTCCCGCAAAAAAAAAAAAAAAAAAAAAATGGTTAAACAGAAGCCTCTAGAATTGAGGGGGCATCCACCTCCGTAATTTGTTTTGGGGATAGAAAACAGAACAAAGGATTCCACAGTTATTTCCTTAGAGGCAAAATTACATTTCCTTTGCGAGTGTCCTGCTGAGCTTATGGGAAAAGCACAGAAAATCCCATAAGCCAGTGTGAGTGAGCCGAAAGTCAGGGTGGACTTCTGGGGGTGAAAAGGCCCTGGGAAGTGGCGAAGGGGACTGTCGGGTGCTGGCCTGATGAAGAAGCTGGGTCCCAAAGGCAGCAGCTCTCCTTCTGATGCAGACCCAGGCCTGGGGTAGAGCACGCACCAGCAGCATCTCGTTCCTCTGGAGGGTGCCGGGCGCCTGCTTCCCACAGCCGGGGCCTCTGGGCAGGAATTCAGCCCTAGAGGGTACTGTGTGCACAACGCCTGCTGTGGGACGCCCCCACCCCAAAGCAGGCACGGGGGTGGGGGGCAGCCCAGCCTGTGCAATCACAGAGCCCCTCATAGCCCTCCCACCCCTCCGCCGCAGGGCCGGCTCAGACTGGCGGGGGCACCAGGCCCAGCTTGTCCTGTGATTTCTGACCTTCCGCTCTCCTGAGACACCCCATCAGTCAGGCTCGCACTGGAGGGAGGCAGACGGAGGGTTTAGTTTTTACAACTGTCTCTAGAGCCTTTTTTCTGGGCCTCTCTCCCATCCGGCCCACCTCTGCCCTTCACACATTCTGGGGTAAGAAGACACCCTCTGCTGATGCCCTGGGCCCACTGGGCCTCTAACCACAGCCTGAGTCTGTTGTCCATTCAGCCCATCCTGTGCCACAGAGCCTGCCCAAGCCCGCTCCCGCCTCCCAGGCCACCATCACCTCAGGGGAGGCTGGTGCATGTCCCAAGGGCCGCGATGACTGCAGCGAATTCTCCTCCCAGTAACATACCCTGTTCCATGGACATTCTGGAAATCCTGCCAGTAAGGTCAACGCACCATCTACTGTGTGCAGTTGAGACTTCCCATCCCTCTGGTTTGGACCTGGTCGCTGTGTGTCTGCAGTGAGGAGCCTCCCCCACTAGGCAGACAACAAGGCCTGCTGGCATCAGCCAGCCCCATGCCAGGAGACACTGTGCAGCTGAGCTGGCCTTGGACCAGCCAGCTCGTGTTCAGCGAGGGATCCCCACAAAAGGAAAAGCACTGTGCGGCCCGCCCCTCAACCTGCGTCCTGGCCTCTGGAGTTGGGGGCTGGGCTGTCTTCGTGCTTGCAGCTCGTGGCTGTTCCAGGTCAGTCCGCCCCCCTCCCACACCCCACCGATCCTCTCCCCTGGGGACGGAACAACTTTTCAGAATGAGTGAATTTGGCGGACGGGTGGCCCAGGCTGGCCAGAGAAAGGAAGCTCGCTCCCTGGAGCCAGACTTCCCACTGGCCAGCATGAGCTCACACCGGCTGAGACTCGGCCGATCCATTAACATTGCGAAAGGCTCTGATGGACTTGGGGGGATTGTGCCACATTGATTTTATTGTCATCCTTTTGCACAAGCAGTAAATAGGCTAACATTTTAGGTATGGAGTAATTATTCCGGAAAAGCAAGACATCAAACTGAAGTTTAGAGTTGGAGTCTTGGCATTTTGACAGCCGTGTGGAGGTCCCAGAGATGGCATCGAGCTAGTGAAAAAGGTCTAAGGTCAGTGTGCCTCACGATGCAAAGGTGGCCCCACTGCGGGGCTTGATGTGGGGTGCAGACCTTCAGGGCCAGCGTTGGGCAAGTTCTGACACAAATTGTCCTTTCTGTAAATGCCACAAACTTACTACGGACAATAGGTGGGTTCTGGAAGCAGAACCCACAGGGAGTCCATGCAGCCCACTCAGGAAATGGGGTCATGGTAGAGGAGGGGGCACAATGGCTGATTCTACAGGCCAGTGGGGGCTTGAAATACTTGTACCTCTGGCTTCTGAAAAATGCTTGTTTTGGGATTTTTTTTTTTTTTTTTTTTTTTTTTATTCACCTGTGTATACAGAACTGGGGTACAGGTCACTTAGGCTCATGGCTTTGCCTTCTGGATGGTGCATGTCAGTGCAGCCGTGTGTGGAGTTCGGTGGGTGACCAGCAACCCTTCTTGGCTGCACTTGCAAGGATGGGCTTAGGTGTGGACTGTCACAGCAGGTAGCATGAGGTGACCCCGGCAGCCTGAGCTTCAGACCACTGTCCCTGGTAGCTCTCATCTGAGTGCCCTTGCTGACTCCTCAAGGACTCCACATTTTTAGATTCTGAACTTGTCTGTGTATATGGAGTGAGGTGCTCCAAATGGCCTTGAACTTTTCATTCTTTTCCTTCCATAGATAATTGCTTGGGGATCATTTGCTTTTCCTGGGTACCTTTTGATTTTCTTTCCCCCTGTGCATGTGTGTCAGCTCCTTCCATTCCAAATATAGAAAAACAAGCATCTAGCTAGTACCCAGTAGCATCTTTTCGACTTGAACCCAGCACAGGCAAACTCTCATTTGATGTCTTATCATGTGAAACAGTTATCCCGAGAGCACAAGTGAAGGCAGCTTTTTAACTTGGCCCCCCATGCTGGGGTGAATCAGCTCAGGCTCTTCCTTCTTTTTGCCCTGCTGCTTCAGTGAGCTCAGTGGAGAGATGACTTCAAATTTATTGTCAAGGAAAAGTGGAAAAGATCTCCCTCTGTCACTGCTCTGAGACTTCCATGCAGAAGGGGCTTTTTTCCACTGGCCAAAGGGAGCCCAGGAACGTTGGGGGAGCCCTTGGTCACCCTTGGGGGCCACCTCGGAGTGGCCTCTGCTTCTGGGGCATGCTCCAGTTTCTGGGAAGGCTCCAGGTGCATGCTCACCCCTGGGCCTTTGCACTGGCTCCTCTCTCTGCCTGGAGGGGTCCTGCTGGAGCTGGATTGTCCAGCATGTACTTTGACTTTTTTTGTTAGAAAAGCTAAGCTAAACAGAATCAAATACTAAGCACCTTCATTTGTCTTTTCCCTCCCCACCACTCACCTGGAGATTTCCTCTCCTACTGCAGTTCATGGGACCTGGAGAACAGACTGTATTGCATCAGTCTCGGAGTATGGGCTGTACCCCAGGGGCACACTTTCTGCTGAAGAAGATAAACACTTATTCAGGAAGCCGGGGGGGGGGGGGGTGGCCTCCTTGACCTGGAAATGCAAAGTCCCTCGCTCTTCCTGCACCTGCTCACCTTCCTCCCTGCTGCTCCCCACTTCACCCCTCCCCTGTAATAATCACAGTGCTCTCTGGGCAGGAGCAGAGACCTGGTTTGACTGGTAGCAACTGTGTCCCGCTCCCTGTCCTTGGAGTTTCAGCCCAGACACCTTTTCCTTCGGATGTCTTTGCTGAGGTAGGTCCTCACCAAGAGCTCACCCACATCCTGAGTAACTCTCCTTGGTCCTCCGCATCCTTGGCTCTGCATGGGCTTGGGTCCCTGTGTCCTGTTCTTCCTGGGCCTGTTTCCTCATGGGTCACAGACCTGAAAATGATCTGTGAGCAGTTGAAGAAATGTAAGTCACTCTGGCAACTCAAGCCAATTCTGTTTGACAGTTCAAGAGAGAACTAGTTTGTAATTTTTCAGGATCTTGTGAGTTCTCTGGCTCTACCAGCAGGGAATTCCAAAGAGAATACAAAAAGAGGTTTTTATGTATATAATAATAATAAGAATTCCTATTATGATGGGGGGGTATCTTTCCCACTTTTTTTTGCATTGTAATTGGCACCTAGCGTTGTATAAATTGAAGCAGTACAATGTGTTCACTTGTTACATTTATATTTCAAAATGATTACCACCACAGCCTTAGCTAACACCCCCATTACATCCCATAATTACCATTTCTTTTCTGTGGTGAGAACATTTAACATTGACTCTCTTAGCAACTTTCAAGTATGTAATTTTACATTATTAGCAATAATCATCATGTATTATTAGATCCCCATAACTTGTTAACTTTTTATCTGGAAATTTGCACCTTTGACCAACATCTCCCTAGTCTACTCCCAGCCCCTGGCCGCCACCTGTACTCTCTTTTCCTCTGAATCTGGCATTTCTAGATTCCATATATACATGATATCATACAGTATAGTTTTGAAATAACGTGAGATTTCACTTAATGTCATAAAATTCATAGAAGATATTGCAGAGGGTAGGATTCCCTCTCTCCATGGCTGGATAATATTCCATGGGCTTTAGAAACACACCCCATCTGTGTTCACCAATCATTTGTTAACAGACATATAGTAATATAGGTGGTTTCTGTCTTGCTTATTGTAAATAAGGCTCCAATGAACACGGGCTTGTACTATCTTGTTGGGACTTGTTTTCAGTTCTTCTGGAAATATACCCCAGAGTGGGATCGCTGGATTAAATGGCGGTTCTATTTTGAGTATTTTGAGAAACCATCATGCTATGTAGCATGGATTTCTTTTCCAAAGTAAGGTGATTTTTCAGGGATGCTTAAGGGAACTGGAACAGCACATGAGAACCTCAGTCACTGTGAGGCTAAGAAATTTTAAACAATAGAGCATTTTTAGTGAATTTCCTTCTGGACTGAGGGGGTCCCAACCCCCTGAACTTGGGCCTCTACTGTCTGGAAAACAGGTAAAGAGGGTCCCCACTGTCTCCCCACCACACACACCTGGACATCATTTTGACTTTCTTTGGATTCCTCCCTCCTGCGAGCAAGATTATCTCCCTCTTTCCTTGAACTTTGGTTACTATGTGGCTTTGAGACCATTAGGAGCTTGTGAGAGTCTAAAGATTCAAGTCCTGGGCCTGCACAGCGGGCCTGTTGCCAAACCAGAATGTTCCATCCAACCAGAGTTTGGCTCCGGAGCCAAATGGTCACGTGAGAGGCAGTGATTGGACACTATTTCTTTTTTTTGCTGTTCTTTCATTCTTATTCTACTCTGTAACTTTTATCATCATTATTAGCCCACTACCTGATTTTATTATTTAAAGAATTATTTATTTAAAGAATAAAGATTTTATTATTTAAAGAATTAAAAGATTTTATTATTTAAAGCCTGGTCATGAATGTCGCTGACAGACAGTTAATTCTTGATCTCTTTACTTGCTCCACCTAAGGCATTTTTCCTACCAGCCTCTGTGTTATCTTTGTAAATAAGGAAAATATGAAGACCTACTTCCTGCTATGGCTGCTAGCCTAAGTGGGCTAGAATATGGAGGTAGGGGAGGGTGGCTGGCCTGGGGCTGTGTCCTCAGCAGGAGCCATGCACTTGTGTGAACACTGTTTTTTCTTTATACAACTTGACCTGGGCTAAGATACCTGCAAACTGAGGGCTGAGATTCTGTGCCTTCATGGTGTCTCCATTTTCCTGGGAAGTCTCAGACTGACTGGGCTGGTTCCCTCTCTGTGTGTGAGCACCATCCCAGCCTTCTTCCCAGGCCACGGGAAATCAAAGCCAGGACATTCAAAATCAAACACCCTGTGGTTATTCTTCTTACTCTGGGAAAAAAAAAAAAAAAAAACCCACATCGCTCTCCTTTTGTGCCACTGCAAACATTGCGACATTTTTGGCGGGAAGGGGAAGTTATTTTGTGTATGTGTGAACTAGAATTTTGATAGACAGGGTAAGTTGCAATCCAATTCTAAACTATAGATTTTCAAGCAGATTGATGCAACAAATTGTTAGCAAATAGCAGTTTGCAATTTGATGCTAATTAGACATAAGGCAAATATGTGCCATGACAAATTAGCAGCGAACCATACTGCAGAGGATTAGCGAGAGCTGGCACAGCTCACGCCCGGATTCGCACACCTCCTTGTCGCCGGCGTCACCGTCGGGGTCTGAGCCAGCCTCGCCTCTCTGCGAGCAGGAAGCTGGAGGGGAGACCAGGGCGGCCCAGGCCAAATCTCAGAGTGATGTTCTGCCTCTTCACTCTCCACCTGTGCTAGCTTGTCCTTCCTCCAGAGCTGCTGTGGAAGGTTCTGTTCTGGAAGCTTCCCACGACATCTATGCACATATTGAATATACATGCATACATAATCCCGGAAACATTCGAAAATAGAGATGAGTGAGAAAGAAGAGCAAAGAAAGGAAAAAGAAGAATGAGGGGGAAAGAAAGAAAGAGAAAGGGAGAACAAGGAAATGGATTTAACGATAACTACTGCTCTTAGTGATTTGCTGATCTGCTTTTGAAACTTTTGTTTCCAAAGACTTCAGATTTTCAGACAGTTTTCCTTTTAGGTGTGTACAAGCAATATTTTAGGTGGTTACACAAGCAATGCTTGCAATTATTATTTTGAACAAAAATGGCTCAGACAGATCAGACCTATATTATTTGCAACCTTCTTTTCTGACTTAATTTTGCATCATGTATATTTTTCCACAGCCATATACACAAATCCATATTAAAAATCTTTTTTTTCCCCTTCTTCTGTGCATCCACCCACTCATTTAATCACCTTCTCTTGGAAGCCTGGATTGCCCTGCAGCATTGGGGGTGGGCTTGGAAATTTGTTTCTGCACATGTGGGATAATTTCTAAGGATCATTCCTAGATTGAATCGCAGCAGAAAGTTGGCATACAACTTTCTTTTCCTTCAGAGTAGCTGTTTCCGAAGCCCTGTCCAACACTGGCTATTATTTTAAATCTTTGTTAATTCGATGTGCCTCCAAAATTTACCCTGCTGATGCGTATTTGCTTTTGTTTTCTAATGAGCTGGCGTATTTTTTCAGGAATCTTACATGACTCCATACTGGTCTTCTCAGAGAACAGCCCAGCTCCTCACACTCCGTCCGAGTAATCACTGGAAATTAAGTGCATGTTCATATTTACAGAAATTTCTCTGTCCTACAGATTTCTGTGAGATTTTCAAGCATGGATCTATGGTGATCATGCCAGCAGCTGGTCTGAAGGTGGAATGAATCAGTGCAGCATTTCCCAGACTTGCCTTGTTGAAAGACACCGGCGGGGATACTCCAAACCAGGGTTCCACTTAATGTACGTGATACTTCAGTTTTTTATCTGAAGAAGAATGAACCTATTCTAAATAGTATGCATTGCTATAAACCAATATCATATTCCAAAAGAGTGATGGGAAAATAATGAAGATTCCCCTTCTTCTTCTCAGTTCTTGCTGGGACACTGTCCAGTTAACTCTCATCCATGGCATGTCTAAGGCAAACCCTGCTGGAAGGTGTAGAACTCACATAACCCGGTCCCCCTCCACGAGCCCAGGGTTGCTGGGGAGACATGCCATGCTGATCTTCCTGTGGGAAGAAGAGCGGGAGTTCTCTCTCTTCGCTCCCCCCACAACTGCCCCTCCTGGGCACAATCTGGAGATGTGGTTCAAGTCCTGTGGTTTGTGACCATTCTTGGAAATGTTCCTTACCTGCAACATGACAAGAGGGGCACAAATAAAATACATCATGGTATAAATATTAGTTGTGCTTACATGCACTTTTTCATTCAAATAAGTGTGGCGTGTAGAAATGTTGCATGAAAATGCATGAGAGTTGTCTATTTTCAGTAGTAAGTTCGGGAGTGACTGATCTGGAATTGCATCCAATACTATGGAGAATTGTGTGGAAGTTGAATATCAGTTTTCAGTAATAAGTTTGGAGGTTGTGGTATTTTGGTTCTTGTGTGTGTGTGTGTGCACATATATGTATATGTGTACATGTGCACATGTTTATATGTGCATATATGTTATATTGTGTATATATAACACTCTTTGATTCTGCAGAGACACATTCAAACTTCACCTATAGGTCAGCACAATTCTGTGTGAAGATGAGTAGTCATTTCCTCAAGAGATACTACATTTTTTAATTTCAAAAATTTTATTGACCTATAATTAATATGCTGTAAGTTGGCTCTTATAAAGTATATCATTCATTGATTTTAGATGATACCCACCTTAAACCACCAGGACAAACCTATCTCTGAAACTTGATTACATATGTAAATTCAAAAATTTAATCCAGTATTTTCATATATCCCACCACTACTCACTGTTGAAGCTTTCAAAATTGACTGTTTTAAATTATGAAAACACAGTAGTGGTTTAAATAGAGAAAAAAATTATGTCATGCCTATTGGTATGTCCAAGTATATAAAAAAAGTATATAGAATTTTCTTGTTACCCTAACTGATTCTTCTGGTCATTTGGGTTATAGTATCGGTTACATTTTCTAACTGATCACTACTTTGGGAAAGTGATTTAATGTTTATTATTTGACCATCTTGCTAAAGTCTATGTTTGTTGCACTAACTGATTTTTAGGCAGGTTTTTTTTTTTTTTTTGGTAGCCACTACAATATCTAATGGTGATCTTGTCCCTGATTCTTTTAAATTTATATCTTGTATATATTTTTCTTCCCTTATTGCTTTGGGTAGAACTTTCAAAAAAAATGTTAAGTAATTGTGGTGATAAAAGGTATTCCTATTAATAGTTTCTCCTTAAAGGTGTAAGTCTAATAACTTATTATTATTTGTAACAGGCAGTGATTGGTTTGAGGTTTGAGATAGGTTTTTTTTTAATCTTGTACAGAAGTTAGCATTTATTTTTAATTATCTGTCGCATTTGAAAAATCACCAAGTACAATTTGAATTTAACATTTTCTTCAACTGCGTATTTTTTAAACATATTTGATATTCTTAGTTATATTAATATTGTATTTCTTAATGTTGAACTATTCCCATCTTCCTTGAATGAAACAGATTTCTATGGCTCATTTACTACTTTTGATATATGGCTATATATTATCTGTTGAAGCAATTTAAGCAGGACTGAAAAGTCAAAGTTCTGAATATAAGAAAGCTTTTGAAATGTTGACTGGTCTATGAGTAGAGTAGTTGGTTTGGAACACAGGATATATGAGAGAGCAGTGGGAGATATTACTGAAAATATATGCTGGGACATGGGGACATACTACCTTGAATCTTGCATCAAAGATCTAAATTCTAGATATAGAGATTGATGATGACATGTTAAGCCATGAGAGGAGACTCAGGAGAGTATTTGGAATGAGAAAAGAAAGCTAATATGATCTTTGAGAAATGTCAAATTTCAGAACTCATGAAAATGGTGATAAGGAACTGTGAGCTTGGAGAAACAGAGAAGCAATAGAGAAGAAAACAAGAAACTTTTTAAAAAAGATGGTGGATGATGATGTTCAAGTAATAGGAGAAATGAGAAATATATTTGGAGTTGGTTATTTGAATATTTAGATGAAAAGGCAAGAGTTCAAGATATTGTTTAAAAGGAGACACTCGGGGTTTCTGTGTTTTTTCTTATTCAAATCACTATTATCACACATTTTAGTTATTGACACCCAAATTGTTGACATATGACCCAGAAGTTATATAAAATAATTTGGTGATATTAAAACATTATGTGGCTATACAACACACAATTATGGGAGCAAAACGAATGAAGTGGAAAAGCAGCAGGCAACACTCAGGAAAACAATGCCTAATTTCTTTCTTAAGCCCTCTGGGGGAAATCTTCAGACAGTTTTGAGAATGATCAATAATGAATGTTGCTGTGAATTTATTTTCCTTGCAAATCTTTATTTAAACGGTATGTAATAGACTGGAGCCTCCCAGTATTTGGCCCTGCCTCTGCCATTGGGAAGCCCCAGGGTTTGAAGAGCTCGCTGTGACTAGAGAATTATCCTTCTTTGCACAACACATAGGTCAGTCTCTGGCTGTGCACTTCCCTGTTGGTGTGATAAGCCAACGTGTCATCCGAGTTCTGAGATTCATTGGTTGCTGACAATATCAGCAATAGTCAAATAGGTTTGGGAGTAATTTCCATAAGATACAACAAGCCAGTTTATATTGAGTTCTCTAATATCGTTCAAATGTCTTTGCTTGCAATTGTTTTCTAGGTAAGAGGTAAAGGGGTTGGTTCTACAGCTAGAAGCTTAACAATTAGGTAGACCCACTGTGGCTCTCTGGCCAGTTGGTGCTACAATCTGTCCTTGGCATTTGCAGATGATGTTAGTAATTTTAGTAATTTTTTCTTTCACCCCAGAGGGTGGCACCGATCTGATCTTTACCCTCAATGTATGAACCACATTAAAAAAAAATGGAGAGAATCTGGAATTTGTAGGTGCAATTTGTTCTTCACACCAACCGCACCTTTATAAAATGCTGACGACTTTCAGAGAGTTCAGATCAAGGCTTCTCCCTTTTGTCGATACAGCACAAACTTGTTTTTTGTTTCTTTACCCGTCATAAAGCTTGGAATGAAGCTGACTCTACTCTCAGACCCTACTCTGATGCGCTGATTCACATCAGTCACCAGGAGTGTTTGCAAAAAGTCAAAATGAATAATCGGTGGTGGGAATTCTACGGGGACTATAGCTGAGAGCAGAAAGCAAACGTTGTACAAAAAATGAACCGTGATTTGAAAAATATATATATAAATAAATTATATTTAAAAACAAAACAATACTGAGCATGCCCTTTCCCAGATCCCCAAGATTATCCTTAGCTAGGATCGGAGGTGACACCTAGGAATCCAAAAATGGTTGACAAGATTCTTCTGGATTCAGACACAAGTGTTCCTTTTCCTTTTAATTTCTACAGGGCCTGTAGTAATTTCTCTTTTATTACTGATACGGGTATTTTTTGGTTTTCTCTCTCTCATTCTCCCCCACCCCTTAGACATCTGTCAAGAAGGGCAAGAAGCTTGTCAGTTTATTGATATTACAAAGAGGTTTAGTTTTCTATTATTAGCCTGTTTTCAATTTCATTAATTACTGTACTTTTTTCTTTCTATGTGGTTTAACTTTTTCTTATTTTTCCAGTTGCTGACAATGAAAGCTTAGGCTATTCGTTTCAGACACCACTTCTTTCCTAGGCAAACATTTCATCCTATAAATTTTCCTCTGAGCACTGCTTTAGTTGTATCACACATTTTAATTGGTTGTATCGTTATTTTCATTCAGCTGAAAAGATTTTTTTAATTTTCTTTGACCAGTGTTTACTTTTAGCTTATTTTTGTCTTTATATTTAAAGTACCGTTCTTTGAGATAACGTAACTGGATATTGTTAATTTTTTAAATATAGTCTGATAATCTTGGTCTTTTACTTAGGATATTTAAGCCCTTTAAGCACAATAGCATGAGGAAAATTATGAGATGAAACATAATCAAATTGCTAATATAACTGCATTTAAACACGTGATTAATTAATCACATTAATCACGTGTTTAAATACAGCTATATTTAAATTTTCCATTTGATCATAGTGTTCTATTAGTCTTGTCTACTCTTTCTTCCCTTTTCTCTCCTTTTTTCCACTTTCATCTTCTTTCTGCAGTTACTAGCAATAATTCTTTATTGTATTATTTTAGTGACGGGTGTAGGGTTTATAGTTTTTATCTGTCACTTCCAACAGTCTGTCTTCAGTGACATTATATCCCTTCTCATATAGTAAGGAAACTTACAACCATTTACTTCCATCTCATCCTCTCTTGGCCTTTTTGCTATTGCCATAATACATCTTACTCCTATATATGCTATAAACACCACAATATATTGTCATTATTTTGCTTTAAGCAGACAATTATCTTTTAAGGAAATCACAAAATAAGAAAAAGGTCTTTTATGTTTTCCACGTACTTAACATTCCATTCTTGTGTTGATTCAAGTTTCTTTTTGGCCTCATTTTACTTCTTCCTAAAGGATTTCCTTTAACATTTCTTATAGAGCTTGTCTGCTGGTGATGAATTTTTTTAGTTTTTGTATGTCTGTAAGACATTTATTTACCTTCATTTTTCAAAAATAGTTTTGCTTGCTGTAGAACTGTAGTTTAGATTTTATATTTCAGTACTTTAAAGATGTTCCATGTCTTCTGACTTGTATTTTGTTTCCTTTTTTATGAAATGGCCATGTTTTGCATTTCACTTTCTATATGATATTTTTTAGTATAAATCTGCTGTCATTCTATTTATTTCTCTCTATAAAATATGTCTCCTGTTC